AATGAACTAAAAATATTCTTAAAATCGAATAAGAGATCGAAAATACTTAATTTCTACTGTTTTCTCTATGGTAGAAATACCCAGCGGAATGTGTCGCAGCCTCAATGGAAAAAATGTGTCGCAAGTGGCTCCCGGTGTCGCAGATGATTGTGTCGCAGAATATGTCGCAATTTGCGACACATGCGACACATTATTTTTTAGTGTGTATTGTCACTTTATTCGCTTCAGCCAAGTACATGGACGAGTCAATCATCCTTGTGTTTTGCATTGATAAGTTGTATATAAATGTCACAATATAATTTAGAAAATAAATTTAAATATTTCTATTAAGTTGAATAAATTCAGTAGCCATACATGCATCTGCTCTACAAAAGTAGAATATGGCCACAGAAACATAAATGGAACACATACTTGGCTGAAATTTTTCAAGTGAATTTACTTGCATTGGGTCAGCCAAGTGCTTGGACAAGTTTACTTGGAAAAGTTTACAAGTACTGCTCTCATTATTTAACCCAAGTACTTGCACAAGTACTTGGCTCAAGTCTATTCACTAGGGAACGCATAATCTGTGTGCTTTGTTATACCTGTATGCAATATCCTCAAATCAGAGATGGAGGTAGTTGAACTTGAGTCATATTTTCTCATGAGTCGGACTCGAAGCAAGCGATAGTAAAGTTGATAAACGAACTCGAGTCACTCTCAAGTCAGTCAAATGAAACTCATAATAACACATACTAAACGTCCAACAGAATGAGTACAATGAATATTTAAAATAACAACAGCTGAAATAAAAGCTGTTTTTGGAAAAATGAATTAGTGTGAATTTTATCTTTAGAGAATGACTTGACTCGGACTCGAAAAACTGATGCGTCACTCATCTCTGCATAAAACAAAGCCAGTTAGATCAATACACGTATATACTGATTGTTTTTTATTTTACGACGATTTAATACATCGAAAAATGCTCTTATATTCGTGCAACATAAATATTAAATCAATAACTCTTTTTACTAGTCGGACCTATGCATGGACTTTGATGCTATTCTCAAACTATAGAACTATAGTTTAGAAATAAAGATTAAAGTAATACTAAGATAAGAAAAACAAAACTTATACAAAGTCCGCGCTTTTTATTGCAAGGAAAAAATTTTGGATTGACCAAGTGTCCATATACTGAAATTGCGCTAAATCTAGCGATTTTCTTTTCATAAACTGTGTTTATTATGTGCGTGTGTCATGTTGTAAAAAAGCTAGACTGTTTAATAATTTGTTTCATTCTAATAACGAGATGCTCTTTCATAAATTGTTTAACAACTTTTTGGCTAAGTAATTTTAATAAACATCATTTGTGTAGAAGTCATCTGAAACCTTGGGTCACAAAAGAAGATTATTCCCATTACAATCAAATATCCAATAATTTTCTTCAACAGTCATTTGCCACCGATATATCATTTGAAGATCCGCTCCAGAATTGTCCAATAATGTATAACGCGTTTATACTTGACAGAACTAGTATTTTACTACGAAATCTTGTTTCTTTTCGCTAGATTTTCATTTTATTCATCAGATAATAAAGATGAAATAAGTGCAATATTAATGGCACAATATCAAAATGACAACAATGAAAATACGTATTATGTTTGTTATTTATCCACTCTTAAAGATTATTTGAGACAAGGTTTGGCATCTTACTTGCTCAATCAAATTATAAGCGAAGCAATAGAAAAAAGAATTGATTATGTAACGTTACATGTGAATATTGAAAATCGACCAGCACTCAATTTATATCGAAAATGTGGATTTCGATGTGTCAGATATATGACTGGTTACTATGCAAACGATAAACGATATAGAAAGTAAGACTCTATTTGCTCATTCTCAACTCTATATTTGACTATTTCAGTTCGGATGGTTATTTGATGATAATTAATACAAAACATGTTAAAGATAAATATCAAGTGTGCAAAGATTATCATGCTGTTTTTCTACCGCCCGAAGTAGAAATAAAATACGAAAAAAAATGTATACACTCTAGATTTGATTATGAAGAAAAAGATGAGAATCTATTTGACGATGTGAAAGATATCATGTTTGACTGAGTTTCGATCTTAACTATACATGCATTGTGATATTCTGAAATCTATGGCTTAATATACACGCTATTTTCATCTAATGATAATCGAATCGATCATGACTTTGATACCAAGAAGGTTTTCTATAATATCGGCCCCTATACCAGTTGTTTTTCATTCTTTATTGTTAGATCATTGGCCACATTTTTCGTATTCTATAATTTACAAGTATTTTTTAACAAAAACTTTTTATAGGATTTTATAGTCACTGTTTTGTGTAAAATAATAGTTGCAAGTCATCTATGAGAGTAATCTAACGAGGGAAGGTTCCCAAGTGGCAAATCCGTTTTGACCGGAAACTTAGTGAACAATAGGTAATCGAGTGTCCTGATTCCGAATATCACAATGATTTGAGCCGACAGTTCTCTGGAGATCCCGGCTTTAAGAAAACCAGTTTTTCAGAAACTCTAAAAAATAACCCAAACCTTTCTTAATAAGGCCTGACTGTAGCCTGCACATTTCTGATTAAAATGAGACATCTCCCAGCTCTACACGACCTTTCTTTACAAAGTTATAGAATTTACAAGAAAAGCCCTAAATGTTCATTGTCAGCTCAAAGCTTCAGAAATAAGAAGAAATTAATTTAGGACTTTTGTAAATTGTATAACTTTGCAAAGAAAGGTCGTGTAGAGCTGAAAGATGTCTCATTTTAATGAGAAATGTGCAGGCTACAGTCAGGCCTTATAAGAAAAGTTTTGGTTATTTTTTGGAGTTTCTGAAAAACTAGTTTTCCAAAAACCGGGATCTTTAGAGACGTATCGATCAAAACCATTGTGATATTCGGAATCAGGACACTCGGTTACCTATTGTTCACTAAGTTTCCGGTCAAAACGGATTTGCTACTTGGGAACCTTCCCTCGTAAGCATTATTTTAAAAGAAACAATGTAATTAGACATTGTCCAGGAATTTTCCGTTTCTAATATTTCGATCATGCTATCTGATTTCGATATGTTCGTTTGAAAGGTTAGCTCAACCGGTGAGAGAAATTTATTCTTTTTTTAACCACCAAATAGATAAGTAAAAAGATCTTGAAGAGATCTGATTGTCCGTTGGTAACTTTCGTATTATGGTGACTATTATCCGTTACAATACAATACATACAAGCCAGGCGGTTGCGTTTTGAGTAGCTTTTGACAGAAGATAGACAGAGACCTGCGGTTTTCACTATTCGATAGCCGAGAGCTGTACGCGTCTTTCCACAAGCAAAACTGATTTTTGAAAAAGATTCACAGATCGAGTTTTGAGCAGATCGTTAGAAAACCAGTTTGGATCTCTGAGAATTGTCATAGAAATAGGTCGATCTTTCTTCGTAGATAGATAGTCCAAAGTGTCCTCTGCAAAATGGAAACCAAGCAAACAATTAATTTTGTGCGGTTCAGGCGTGGTATCGGATTTCCTGAGAGCCCAGAATCAATATTTCTTTAGGTGTGGCAATTCCGAAAATAAGTGGAAACATAGGTAATCGACCACGCTGAATCTCGTGGCAAGATTTGTTTTTCCAAACATTTTCAAAAACCTATATTAGGAGAAATAACCCATTTTTGCCTATTTTTGCCTAAAATTCAAAAGTTCATAACCCACCGAAAATACATATGATGGCTTCACAGCCAATAATCGCGATAATGATTAAGTTATCTAGTAGTCAACGCTACACAAATCTGTTAAACATGTGCCATGAACTAGACGAACTCGATTTACCGAGGATGTATCTAACAGAATCTAGGAAAAGTGAGAGGGTCTTCTCTTTTCTTACTAGAGATTAATCGGAGTCAACTATGCATGATAAATGAAAAAAATTATCATTTGTTATTTTATGAATTTACTAGAAAACCTGTACGAACAATATACGACTGATAAATTTATTTTTAAAAAGTCAAACATGAATTATATGGGAGTGATACTTATAAATAGCAGTGAAAATTCCAAGTAAATTGTCAGAAAAGAGCTAGAAGCTAACAATTATATTAATTATCATCAAGTACTGTTTGCAAATTGTGAATATACTCAATCGCTCCCATGACAATATCGATGCGAGACATTTTACGTCGTTTTCGTCCATTTTCATACGGTAATATTTGACGTAAATTAGTGTAAGCATCATTCATTGTTTCCATTCGTCTTCGCTCTCGCTTATTCGCTTCTTTACGTTGCTCTCTGGATAAAATTCGACGTTTTTTTTGTATTAGACGGTAATGGGCGGAATTCATCGTTAGGAGAGAATCTCGTGCTTCTTCCGAATTCTCTTCTGTGACAAAGTTTTCATCATTATTGATTTTGGCCTCTTCGTTAGAGTTGGTTGTTAATGTAGAATGCAGATACTGATGATTTAATGTTGATGGTAGAGAATGCCAGATCTGAATTAAAAAAGGAACAGACTAAATAATTAATTCATCTTGATTAGATATATACTTCTCTCCTCTTGACTTTCTAGTTCAAACTAAAAGTCATTGCGCAAATTTACTAGTTAGCAAAATACTGCAAAGATTTATTCATATGTCATCTAACGTCTTTCTAGCAGAAATTTGATAAATTCTTTCTTACATCTTTTGAATCGTCTTTTAGAATCTGTGGGTTTTTATTAATCGTATCACTTCCGCCAAAAACTGAAAATTGGCGTGTAACAGTTGCCACATTGTATTGTTGCTGTTCATAGCTAATGTCATTTCCACTTTCATAACCTGATGAAGAATTTAATGTACTGTTCAACGAAGGCGTAGATAAAAATGGCAGTGATGATAATCTTTGATTGTAATAGGAGGATGGATATGATGACGCAAATGGCCAATATGACATGTTCATAGTGTAGTCAAAGCAAAAGCTATTTTCCAAAAACGTAATACAAAAAGAAAATGATTAACTTTATACAAATTCAGATTATCTTTATATAGTGGATATCAGAAACATTTTTAACCAATAAAATGGAATGAGAAATAATTTAAAAAAATACTAATGTTATTGATGACCAAATTTCAAACAATAAATGACTTTTTGTCAATATTTTAGTTTTTCGTTAGAGATAAATCATCAATTTGTTAAATTATTAGAGATAAAAGCTGCTGCTTGCAGAAGAAATTTTGCTTTCTAAATATTACTCATCAATAACGAGAAACGGAATAAAATCACATGAGTAGAGAAACTCACTGATGAAATGGATAAACTATATTTTATTTGTTAATGACTTTCTATCAATTTGAACGAGAGATACATCGTCAATAGACATTTATTGAATATGAGCGTGCGTATTTTTTAGGTAATTATTGACATTTTTTCATGCTAATCAACCACCCATCTGGTTGATATACGAAGGTTAGTTCCACATTCCGGTATCGATTCAATAATGATATAATAAAATCGACAGTAGATTTTCAACGCTTATACAGTAATTTAGTTTTAGTACACTATATTTCACTTTTACCAAGGATAGAATGAGATTTAATAAAAAACGTTTAGATCTCACTAACATTTACGTTAATAAATGTATTAGAGTCTACAACCATTTTTTAAGGCAGGACTTAAAGATTCAATTAGCTTACGTACACTACAATATTTCGAAATTGTGCAGCTCGAAAAAATCAGTATTTTCAAGTTATATTGCTGAACTGAAACTGCTTTGCGAGAATACTTGTAAGATTATATATGTTGTTTTAGACGAATGTTTTTTTTAATGAAAATTGTGGATTGATGATAGCTTTTAGCTTAATGGTTTCCATGACTATTGCTTTAAATTCAAGATGTGTTTTTCCTTATAGAAGATGATCATCTTCTATGAGTCGATTAGTTTACCAAAACCTGATTTGTTCGTGGAATGAGCCAGAATCTATTGCATCATTAGTTGAATACATTAGTCAATGCCACAGATGGGTAAGTCACAAGTCAAGTCAATTCTGGTTAAAAAATAGGGGGAATATAAAATTTTTTAGAGCGTCGATGCCCAATTATAATAAGCCATGGTCGCGATGTTCACGTATTCTGTTTTTTTAGTATTTGTGGTAAAAATTTTCAAAAAACATTTTCAAAAACGTTGTTGAGAACCTGAACTATCATTGTGTTTGGTTGATAAAATTATTCGTTGAACTAGATTTGTCTGTAAAAGAAGTTGCCATTAGTTTCAAGTGGATTTGGCTGTGTTTTTGACGGCACATGACCTTTCCTTAGATGATCATGACCTTGTATAATTGCTGTACTTTTCATGATTACTTGTGCTCGTCATATACAGAATTTTACTTGATATACACATGATTTGGGTTATAAATGGTTTATTAATTGGTCCCAAATTGTCAGGGGCGTACCTAGCACCTTACAGCAAGGGGGTGTTCCTGCCAAAAAAATTTTCATTCTTTAGAACGATGGTTTTTTGAAGAGCGAAAGACACTAAACCAAAACTTTTCTGAAATTAGGGGGGTAGTCAGAGTTGGAACCGGTCTAAATATTTGAGACCGGGCCGGGCCGGCCGGTTCGAAACAGTAGACCGACCGGTCGGCCCAAAAATCTGTTTAGACCGGTGAAAAACTGGCAAGAAACTGGGCGGTTTAGACGCTTTTATCAGTAAATCAAAATAGTTTTAATGAAAAAGTCATTTTCACTAGCTTTTTCATATTTCTGCAAGCATAATAACAATAATTACCAGCTGCCCATCCTTCTAGAATTTGAGTAACATCATTCTGATCTTTTTTTGCAATTAATGAGATATCATTTTTCCAAATATCATGATTTGCTTTTTCATTTTCGACCAAGAAGTAAGGTTTTAAATTAATTCTTTTTTGAATTTCAATATCAGTTAGAGAATCAGGGTCGATCATTGTTAGAATAAAAGAATCTATAGAACCTTGAATAAACTTAGAAGAATTAACATTGTATTCTAATTTGTTAACGTATTGCTAACACAGAATAAAGTTTGAGAATTTGATATTGCTGGTAACTTGACTTCATAACTCTGTCTGGCTCAAAAGTGTAGCTTTTTCATCAATAGCTTCAAAATTCAATCAAGTAGTTTGTCGAAAATTAATGTACAATACAATGTAAAACAGATGCTGATTAATTCGACTGAAGGTCGATTTCATTTGAAATTTCCTTGGAATAAACTGACTAAAAATTACACCATCTAGTAGAGAATTTTCTGCTCTATCTCCCGTATGAATTGGCAGTCATTTGGACTTAATCTACATTAGTTAATTAGAAATTACGAAAAGTAAAAGACATAGTTATCTTTTTCATTTTTCTTCTTTCGGGTAATCTGATAATCTCGTGGAAGTGGCACAGATAACTTGGCTTTATAACTCTGTTTGGCTCAAAAGTGTAACTTTTTCATCACTGATGAAAAAGCTACACTTTTGAGCCAAACAGAGTTATGAAGTCAAGTTACCAGCAATATCAACTTCTCAAACTTTATTCTGTGTTAGCAATACGTTAACAAATTAGAATACAATGTTAATTCTTCCAAGTTTATTCGAGATTCTATAGATTTGAGGTTCATGTTAACTATGTCACACATACGACCAATTCTTTCCTAAGTGAAATAGTTAACGTTAGATATGATGTTTTTAAATTATTTTTCTGTCAATAGGAAGAGGATTTTATAGTGTACATGAAAAGTTTCAAATATCGATGATCTAATTGCTAATTTAGGCTGTAGCTTAATGATTCTACTAATTTGAATGCACAAAAATGCGTTTAAAATACTCTAGGTCTGTTATATGCCCATTACTCGTTGAAAATACTGTTTTTTTTTCCAGTTTCACATGTGGTAGATTATAGGATTTTGAACAACTTTGTCATTCAGTATAGCATCGAAATTGGCTTCTGAGAGACGGTGAAGATTTTATTTGTTTATCCGTACCATTTACACGAGATTATCATAACTACCCCATGAAAAATAGCTGTGTTATCATAATTACCCGAAAGAAGAAAAATGAAAAAGATGACTGTCTTTTACTTTTCGTAATTTCTAATTAACTAATTTAGATTAAGTCCAAATGACTGCCAATTCATACGGGAGATAGAGCAGAAAATTCTCTACAAGATAGTGTAATTTTTAGTCAGTTTATTCCAAATTTCCTGTTGAAATTAAGGGTTTAAGTTCATTCCAGCTATTTTGGCTGTAGTTATCATAATACCCCATGAAACACAGCTGTGTTATCACAATTACCTCAAATGGATATATAATGGATGATAATTCTAAACCTATTCACTGGAAATTGATTAGAACTAATTAATGTTAATGAATTTTAGAAAAAAAATTACATCAGTAGATAGCTAAGAGTCAGCTCTATCTACCTGCGTAATACTGATTTTCTCCGGTGAAAAATGACTTAAATATGCTCAAAATATCTGAAAAGTTTTAGGCGATTATCCGAATTACCCCGTGTGACTCTATCACTATCAAAGAATGACTAAGAAACAAAAGAAGAAGAAAATAGTCTGGTTTTTTCTTTTTTTAATTATAGGTTATTGTATGTTAAGTCATTTGTCTTAAATTTAATGTCTGAAGAACAGGTCAGTTTTCTTGAACGAAGAAAGAAAAATGCTAAGAATTCAAAACCGGTCGATCACCGGCCGGTTTGAAAATATTTCTAGACCGGCAAAAGACCGGTGCACACCGGTCCATCTAAACTTTTACACCGCACCGGTCCGTCTGCCGGCTGGGTTCCAACTCTGAGGGTGGCAACCACCCACACCACCTCCCGATAGGTACGCCCCTGCAAATTGTCTATAGTTGCATTTCTACTCTCGTACTCCCGCGTAAACAATATCTCCGACGTGCACGAAATAATAAGGCCGTTCGTTAGATTGTTTTGAAAATCTTTAACTATTTGTTTCACTACTTCCACACCTAGCGGCCTTACGCTTCCCGTATCGCCATAGATATAGGTAATCTCTTTACGATGTTTAATAGGTAGGCATTAGTTTGAATACTCAATTTGCACTGCTATTCAAGTGACTAATTGTTTTGTTATCCGTGTCAATAAAAATAAAGCCAAGCTCGAAAAACGAGAAGAATATGCAAATTTCAGAATCGGAATTTAAATATTGAAATAATTCACATCCATTAGTCTAATACAATTCAAATTACAAGTTTTAATCTTTGCTCTATATATTGTATTTCCGCGTATGTTTTGTGCTAGTATGGTGTCCAGTTTAAAATAAAACACCCGAACTCTCTAGTTTGAAATATATTAAAAAACCTTGCGAAATACTTTCGGTGTAACTCTCATGTAGAAAAAACGCTGTGCATCGGTTCGTCCATTTTAGAGCATGTAGGAATATGCTTGTAACTTTTTGACAAAAGGAATTGTGCGAGGTCGTATTTTGATCAGAGAAGTTTCCACTACAAATCTACGCGTTTAGATAAAATTTAGTTAACACAAGTAGCAACAAAAAACTATTATTTGAAAATTCCGTTTTTTGAGGCTCGTACAAAACTTGCTCGAAAGCCATGACAAATCACTTCTATAACCAAAATAGATACAGGTGCTGAAAGTACACACTTTAGGCTATCCTCCCATGTGCTTAACTAGAGATCAAAGTTTTGATCGAGAATCACCGTTTCTCAAGAAGAAGGGCTGATAATTCCATCTATAATTTAATACTTTCATTTAATTTACTTATTCATCATTACGTAAACGAGAACCAAAACTACTACAAAGTTTAAATGTGGAATATAACACATGGTGCTTTTCTGTTCAAAACTTTTCTGTTCATGGGTCAAGAAAAAGATCTGGTAACAAACACTCATTTTTAAATGATTATATTCAGTTCATGCGTCAAAGATTCTGTAACATATAATGAGAAAAATGCCGCAAAACACAACTTCAATCGTTGTACAGAATATAGACACAGAACAGTGGATTTAGTTTTGCAGTTGACTGCAAAGCTAAGTTCATATGTTCGAATCTGTATTCATACAAAATTGCTTTTGTGTTTCGATAGTTTTAGTTTAGAATACTATAAAGGAATATTTTGTATTCCGCTTTTATTCTGAAAGAATAAAGCTTATATCAATACCGCAAAACTTTTTGATCGCGGTCTAATTACCCCAGCTACCTCTACTTCAGGTGTAACTCTCATCTAGAGAAAACGCTGTGCGTCGGTTGACCGAGAATCAACATTTCTGAGGGATGAAGGGCTCATAATTGCATTTATAATTTAATACTTTCATTTAATTTACTTATTCATCATTACGTAAACGAGAACCAAAACTACTGCAAAGTTTAAATGTGGAATATAATACATGGTGCTTTTCTGTTCAAAACATAGGTCAAGAAAACGATCTGGTAACAAACACTCATTTTTAAATGATTATACTCAGTTCATGCGTCAAAGATTCTGTAACATATACACACCAAAGAAAATGATTCATTGCACAGTAGATCTAGCAGACTTATAACACAACCGTATCTACGATTATGCTCTTCACTCCTACTCATAACAAAAAGTAAAAGCGTGAGCGCATATGTCTACACCCATTGCATTACTTTCCTTGATATCCTTTATTTCAATAACTTCATTATTTAAAAGAAAACTGCATTCCATTATTTCAATTATTAATCATCAAGTAAACATATTAGTTAGCAACTCCAGAAGAACATGCTTCAACGGATGGAATTGTTTAGTAGCTGTTAGAAACGATATTTCTAGCTCTAGTTCTTGGCGAAACTGCATAACAGATAATCATGTTCAACGAAAAACCAATGTAAGTTTCGTGTGTTTAATTCTTGCTGATATTTCACATAATACATCTGTTCGTATGATACCGTTCAAATTCTAAGTAATCGACGCTGTCGTGGATGAAAATAATCGATGGATTGCTATGTGTTATCGGTAATCGATGCAGCTATGCTGTTATTCTACTCATAAAATCCATACAGGAAGGTGACTAACTGATTTTTTTTTCAATAGCTCCACATAGTTTTGATATTGCGCCTTTCTACAATAAGACATCGAATATTTCGCTTGAACTTCACCATCAGATAGGGTATTCGATGCCGATGAGCCGAATACAGACGTTAATGCATTTTGACGACATACTTCACACCTGATGAATGGACGAGTACGATGTTGTTTTGGATGCAATGGAGTTGAACAGCGAGGACTTTGTGTCTTTGACCAGTTGCATGATGAAAGACCTATAATGAAAAGTGAAAACTATATTTAGCTCCTGGATTCTTCTGCAGCGTCTTATCTACTCGAGAATGCAGTTATTTCAGACTTATTCAATTTCTTCATTGGAATTTAAAAACGCGAGTTTAACAAATTTCGAAATACCCATCGTTCATATTTTAGAGAATCGTATACTGAACAACTTTTCCTTTAAAATGCTTCGTTCGAGCAAAATTTAGTTCAGCGTTTGTTTCAAAACACTTTTAGCTTCAGACTAGGAGCCTAAAACTTCTTCGTGATTCCTCATCCGCAAACGACGCAAAGTTTGATTCGTTGGAAAAAGTCAGACAACCGAAAATATTTTGGATATATACTTCCACAGACAGTTAATATAAATCACAACAACAAGTATCTTTTGTCGCTGAAGTGCAAAGTGGGCATCATAAATTCGATCTAGCAGCTTTATTTCTTCATCTATGTATTTAATAATCAACACACAGCTGTTCAACGATGAACAGTACACTCTGGCGCTTGCGACTATAACTTCATATTACTTTTATATTCATTTAACATAAAACTCATGTTTTAACTCAACGTGAGCTTGTTTGTCCATAAATAGATGAAGATGAAACAAGTTGAACTGGTGACTCTATAAAATTCCTTTTCTTCTACTCATAATCAATTACAATATCACATACTACATTTATTCAATAGACAGTGTCACAATCACAAAAGACTCGACAATCAAGTTTCTCTGCAACTCGGATGCGAGTCACTCATCGTAGAAAAAGAGTAAGAATATTGGAAGTTTTTGTTGAATTCTCAAACGGATACAAAACTGTCATACCTGATTTTGAATTGGATAAATCATTCACATTTCGACGCCTAACTTTTGAGGTTGATTTCGGTGTTGATGATCTCTGAAATAAGTTCCTGTTCACCACTGACGACTGATCTTGTCCACCAGATATGAATTTATCTTTGGTCAGATAGTGCGGACGGGAGGGTGATTGAGCTTTTCTATTAAGAAAAGTTAACTGCTGCTGTTGTAATGACAAATGTGTGTTGTCGTTGTTATTTCGATTCGATGAATATAATATCGATGTCAATTCAATAGAGGTAGCTCCCAAAGTCATGAAGATGAGTTCTCCTAGAAATAATGTATGGTACGGTTATTCACTATTGGGTTACAATGCTCGAAACCAAGCCTTCTGTAGACATCAAACACACTCGAAGTTTACTTTTACGGAAACCTTGAAAAGTAAACCCTGACGTTCCTGTAAAGGAAACTATTCTTCAATAGTATACTTACTTGAGCAGGATCGTTGATGGATTGAAAATACGTCAGCTCGATATTCTATGAAATCCTCAACTTCGAATACTTTAGCAGTAAGTGTCACTAAATCAGTATTCAACAACTATATGATCGAATATCTGTGTAAGAAATGATTTTCGTAATTGTTCAGCTATAGTATGTTAAAGCTATTCTTCATTCATTTATTTTTTTCTATTCTGAAATATAGAAGAAAATAGAAAGAATAGATGAAAATGTATCGGCGCCATTATGTCTACGGATGTTACATGTATCAAATATTCCATATTGATTAACAAACTGCGAATTGTTTAAGAATTATCTTAGTTTTACTCAATTATCATCTGATAGATAATGTTCACTCATTATATGATCAAAGTAGAAATTGTTTTTTCATTATATGATCAAAGTAGAAATTGTTTTTTCATTATATGAAATTGAAAACTCATCATTTAGTTCTATAGTTACAATGTCTGATCAGGTGGTATGAATGTGTAAAGTATCCTCAAACCATTTTTCCTCACGAAGATGACATGTTAAGGACGACATTTCTCATGATCTCTTTCTATCAAACACGAAATACCCTCAGGCCAAGTATTCCAGTTGACTATGAACGGAGGGATCGAAAATTAGTTTCTTCGAGTATGATGCATTTGTTAAACGCCAGAAATTCATATTAAAGTAGTAGATTCAACGTTGTTGTTGTCAATGTGAAAATGTTTTCATGTTCGAACAGATCAGCGAACTCAATTCTGAATAACTGAAACTGGTGCACATAAGAACAAATGAAACATACAAATAAGGGATATGATACTCCATGGTGACAGCTGAGCACCACAACCTATTCTCCAAACTCATCGCACAAACACTGTACTGTTAATTGCGCTATGAAAACTTTTCGAACTGTGAAAAAATTTTCTCGGCTCACTGTTTGAAATAGCAGACGGCTTTTATACCTCTGGTATTGTAGAATAAAAAATGCCAACAAAAATCAGAAGGATCATTCTAATTATTTCGGTGTGCTCAAAGTTGGACTTGATTAAAAGATGATATTTGGCCTTATTCGTTTATATAAACATATATTTCTTTGGAAAATTGTCAGTCTGTTTTGCTGTGCATCCAGGGTTCTTCTGGTGATGCATTGAACCTCTAAATATGCTGACATCCAGAAAAGATCGAACTTGTTCGCTAGACGTTTGATGTGATGAACAAAACAAATAGCCACTCACAAATAATTTTCAGAAATAAAACTAGAAAGTTTTAACAGTGAGACACAAAGACTCAGTGTGGAGGTGGACGTTGAGGCTCACTACATAGATAGAACTCTAAAATTTGTGAACCGGAACCGATACCGGTCTCAGTATTGTCGATTAAACCGGTCGCCTGTCTGACAATAGACCGGTCGGTTTATGTCTTTTTTCTCGACTGGACCAGCGCAGACTGGTTACAACTATGGCCGACGCATGCAATAGTTTATTTTATCAAGTCAGAATTCTCACTATTACTCATGAGTTGACACTTTTCAGCGCTTCAGTCGTTATCGGAACCCACGGTGCTTTTTCAACACTAATTCCGCTTTTTCATCTTTGATGATATTGCAATCAACAAAGACGTTACTTGTATACGTATAATGTTTCTATCACATCTCATAGTTTCTAACATAATTTTTAATATTGCTTTATCTTTTATTTTGTAATTTGTAAAACAAACGGTCTATACTTCGATCACGTTTCATTTATTATCAATAACTTGGATCATGACATCATAGTACACACTGCTCCTCATCATCTATCTATTCAGATTATTTATGATCATTTTTATTGAACAAGGCTGATACCTCGTCCATTTTATCTTCTTTAATAAAAACCTGTCATCGAATTATTGAACACATATTCTCTACTTTTATCATCCGCTTTTTTATAGTCATACTATTGAGTAACTTTCATACTATTGATAACCGTCATACTATTGAGTAACTTTGAACTGTACTTCGTTTCCACTTTCTTCACTATAAAACGATGTAACTATAGACGTTGTGACTCCACCTTTACAGCGTTCTAATAATATAGTATAATGAAAAACTCAATCAAACTAATAGTGTTAAATCGATCTGATATACGGACTGAAAGTATACTGAAAACATTAATTTTAGTCTTTTATCACGTTTTAACTTTCTAGGAAGCGCTAGAAAATATGTTGTACATGTGATGAGTATCCATATGTACGTTAGTTTAACAAGGCAACAATAGGTTTTTATCGAGTGGAACGTATAGATCTCGAGTCGGTTATTTTTATTTATTTTTATTCCACTTGTTTGGTCTGTTGATACACAACCGAGGTTCGGCATAGAGCATCTGTAAAGTACGTGGAAGATAACCGCTGCATGGTCATCTGACATAGTTGAATAGAATCGTAAGCGTTGTCAGAAACTCTGTGATTTATCAGAAAGTCAAATTTTTTAGAGGTGTTTTCTGCCAATTCACATTATCAAATAAATATATTTTCCTTATTTAGTGGAGTTCTGGTCTCAAGAGCATAATAAGATGAATAAGAACGGAAATCAAAATACAGATATTACGTTCTGTATTTTATTTTAAACTTCTATCAATAATAAATATTCAGATATCTTCAGTTATAGGGTATAACTATATGAAGAAATTCTGTTAAAAATAGCTATCAAAACAAGTAGATTTCTGTGAAAAATGTTAAGACAGTCCTTGCATTAACCTTACTTTTTGTCAATTCCATGACACTTCCAGTTTAATCGATACCTTTACATTTTAACTGATCGATGATGAATAGGAAATTAAAAATAAAGACCATAAAAGAAATGAATAGCAAATCAAAACTGTTCTTGAGTAGCTACAAAAATATACAACACACGCACATAATTAAAATATACATCGAGGTCCTTGATCGGGGTCTTGATCACGACATCCACGAGAAGTGTAGGGTTCAGAATTGGCTGGTGAATCCCCTATAGTACTTCTATTACCAGTAACTTGTTCCTAAAAACATTACAAATGTGTTATAATGTTTTCATTCACAAATGTACCATTCATACGTTTACCTGGCTGTACATTGCATTGTCTCGATCAACTGTTGATTGAAGTGCCGATGAAATGATTGGCTTTGCTATGGGTTCTAGAATATAAATTAGAGGTGAACTTCTGTCGTTTCAGAGGAAGGATACTAATCTCAGCAATTATAAAGTCTAATTTTCTGTAAAGGCATACCTGTTTCATTTTTTTGTTTTTCATACATAATCACGTAGGGTGATGCCGAAGAAAACTTTTCAAAATGTTTACAAACACTATCAAACGAGAGTGATTCAACATGCGTATCATTGAATAACCACCAAATATCATTATGCAAGACGAATGAATAATAATGACCGCTATTCATTGATAGTCCGTGATGGATAACAATCGCTATGAGTCGGTATGTTACTGGTTCATTTGTTGTTGGCAAAGTAATTGTCATTGGTAATGTTGTTTTAGCCAGGCATTTTTCATATTTTCCCGTTAATTTATTTCTTATAAAACGTTTTAATAATAAAACAAGATAATTCGGATACGATGTTATAAACATTCTTCTTGTAGCATCTTGTTTTTGACCACAAGTTTCACATGCATATTGATCATCACCAACTAACTGTTCCCAGTCAAACATATGATCAATCAACGATTGTAATTCAAAATTTCCTTGATCGGTATCAGCCACTGAATTTGTACCGTCGTTTAAGCCTATCGATACTTCATAAAATGGATCACGAGATTGTGTCACTTGTGAACAGTTTGAACATTTACAAACATGAACCATTGTACCCATTAAATGCTGTTTAACTAAATCTGAGGAAATAGTCGTTTCTGATGTTGTTGAACTTGTTACTCTAAAAGAGAAAAATCCTGTATATATCATGTAATAGTTAGAAGACAGATCAGATCATAATATGAAGCAAATAGTTTCATCGATCTAGGCTATGCCTGAAATGAACACAATAACAAAAACATACGCGTTTAACTAACTCATTTGTTTGTTTTTTGGCTTCTTCATGTAAAGAATCCAATAAATGTCTTAAAAATTCTTGACAGTCTTGTTGATGATTTCGTTCAAAGTAAACGGGTTTTGCTTGAAGCCAAAATTTTTCAGGATGATAAATTGGACGCTATAAAAAAGTAAGAACACTATGACAAATGTATATTATATACATATCGAGAAACATACGTGTGACAATGCAAGAAATCCGAATAAATTTTGCAGTGATTTTAGCAATTCATTATTTGCTGATGGTTGTATACTGAGAAGATTATTTCGAAATCTAAGAAAGAAAATTTGTAAAAAATGATTACTCACACTGCGTTAAGCCACTATAGACTTACTCAGTACATGCGTAAAGAGCTTGAACGATGGCATTTAGATAACATGTATTTCCAATATTAACCAGTCCAACTTTGTCGTGAGTGCGAATTTTGATCGAATTTGAACTTGATGAAATTGATGTTATTTGACATTTTAGTAATCTTATATCTCTTGCAGCGGATTGTTTTGATCGTGGTAATGTCTAAAATGGAAAACAATGATAATCGTAGAACTTCTGCATAATGATACATACTTGCAGTAATGATTTCAAAGAATCAATGTCTGTTGGTTGTTCATCAATCAGGGAATTGAGTGCATATCGACAACTTTCGATTAAATTAAGAAACTCTGTATTTAACATTATGTTTGCATTACAATCAAATAGGAGCGACATTTTTTTCCGTAACGTTTCGCCGAACTTAAAAAAAAGAAGAAAATAGCTACAATAGAAGATAAAGACGTTTTAACTTACTGTAAGCAAATGATGAGGCTGATTGACCAATATCCAACAAAGCACTACTATAACATTATTTACACATAATAAATTGTCTAGACTTTCTATCAACTAGAAGAAAAACAAGTATAAAATATGCGGCAGATTAAAAGATCTGAAACTTACACCAGGGATAACTGAACAAGCTGAATCAGCAACAAGCAATGAACGTTCACGTTGTAATAATAGTGTCCAAATTGATACTAACCATTGTGACGGTTTTGTTGTCGAACATGCCCAATGAGATAGTTGTCCGAGACGATTTAAACACATGAGAAGACGCTCATCGTCGATTGTCTAAAATAAGGATGACAAATGTAAAATTCTGCATTTTCATGACAATATTAGGTATCTGCCGAAATTTTAAGATATGATCTATATAAAGTTTTTTGTACAGAACAGCGGTTCTTACCAAAATGAACGAATCTAATATATTTATATTTGGTTGTTCATGTAATAAATCGATGACACTAGCTAATGCAATGGATGGTTCATTTGCATCCATAGACGATACTGCTGTTGTATCAGCTAAAAAAATTAATATTCCATTGGTTACACCGTTGATGATATCATTTAAAATAACTGTTTGATTATCTTTTTGCGAGCATAATTGTTCAATAGTGGATGAAAGTTGTTTACAAAATAATATAACATAATCGTACGTATTTTCAAGCGTTTTTAATCGACGTGATAATAATTTAACTAATTCATAATAGCACAATGAACGTCGAGATGGCGTCAAATTATTATCATTCACAATTGTTGTTAAAATAGAACCGAGCACTTCATTATTCAAATTTTGTCTTTCAGAAATAACTTGTTCTAAAAATCCACGTCCAATGGTCGATGGTAATTGTCCACTTAGCAACTGAACAAATTTCATCGATAAATCAATTTGATTTTGATCTTTAGTTAAATATTCAGCTATTAAACATAAACATTGTTCATGACAACATTTTAGGCATTCTCGGAGTATTTCAGACTTGTCTGAATCAATACTACTAGTACATTTTTGTCGAACGATATCCACAATTCGATAGCAAATATTTTTATCAACAAGAAAAGTATCATCAGTAGTGCTATTTGTTAATACATCAGGCAAAATAAGTCGATCAATTTCATCGTAGGACGATGGAGAAGCAGTTGTTTGACAGATAGACTTTAAATATGATTCACGAATTTTTAATAGTAACAGTTTCTGAGTTTTGAACGAATGTGAACTATTTAGAATGCCTTTAATAATATTATCCATGATCAATTTTTCAATCTAAAATGAATGAGACATTCAGATGTGAAGAAAGACTTATTATACAATGCCAAAAGAGGAAAAAAGCCTATGATCATCTTATGTAACGATCTAACCAAACCACTGAATCAAATTACTGGAAGGTACCATGCAAACCTAGATGACGGGACGACTAAATAGATAATGATCATTCAGTAAGAAATTGAATGCAGCTGTTTTTGTCTCAGTCACAATGACACAGTCAAATTCTTTTACTCTCTTAAAGAGATACACAATTGCTTTTAGTGTGGAAGAAAAAGATCAAATTATCCATAATAATAATCTTGGTAGACGTTAATTGCTAGAAAAGCAAAAGACATTTTCTAGAATTTTCGAGAAGAGTAGAATATTCGATCACTTCCTTAGGTGCGAATTTATCACTTTGCTCAACATAAGCTTTTTGTAAAAGAGGTTCTAGATTTCTTTATCTCTGTAGGCAATAAACAAAATGTATCCTTCATATGGGAAGAGTTTTACAAGTGCTTCTTATTTTCATTATAAAACCACGTTTATATGACTCTTGTTAATCTGGTTTGTATACCCTTATCGATCTGAACTCAAACCTTGAGTGTTGTCTCATTAGTCAATTACAAGGAGAGCTTGAACAGTGTCATTTTTCACTAAATTAGGACTGGGACTGAACCAAGTTAAAAACGCAGTGTAAGCGTATATGTTATATAACGATCTACTGCAGATCGTTATATAACATGTGAGGAGTGATAAAATTCGATTGCATGAAAAAGTGTAAACAATCTCAAATGTGTAGGATTCAAATTGATTGGATAGAAAGCTCGGATATAGTCAGAAAATATTAAGAATCTTATTTAAAACGATCAGATATCTCGGATCAACGCGAGAAATCGATGATGGCGCTATTGAGCACCTTGAAATAGCGACATACAGTAGCGCTATCCAAGACTTTTCTCATCAAAGGCTAATCGTCCGAAAAATTTGATTCCCTCAAACAGACTATATCATAATTTTTGCTTATATAATAATTGAAATTTCCATATAATGAATTTGAGTCACACACGTTCTAAAAAACAAATGGCACTTATTTGCTTTCGATTGTATGTAGGACTGATCAATCGTCAGGCCACACACTCTAATCATTTAGAATAATTACATGATGACTATTTTCACAAGTCGACAATCTTGAGATCATTTCTGACGGAATCTTGATTTCAGTACTTTCTTCCTGAGAAAGCCATTTTTTTCAGATTTTCAGTCAGAATCTGATGGTGTGTAGTCATACGACCATGGCT